TGCCTAAACAGTTGGATACAGCTGCCAAGGGTTGGCCTGGATACTTGCAAGCAGTTGCAGCTGTGGTATTGAACATCCAATAAGCCAGAAAATTCACCCTGGGCCAGAAAATGACTGTATTAGTATCCCATACAGTGTCTGCAGTGCTGGAGGCAAAAGGTGGACATTGGCTTTCCCCACAAAGATTCTTGAAATATCAGGCTGCAATAGTAGAACAAAATGATGTAGAGATTGTGGTTACTAACATTGTCAGTCCAGCCTCTTTCCTCAGTGGGAACACAGGAGAACCAGTACAACATGACTGTCTAGAAACCATCGAGGCAACATATTCGAGCCACACAGACTTGAGAGACAGCCCTATGGAGAACACAGAGAACTGGTTCATGGATATAAGTAGCTATGTCCTAAGTGGTAAAAGACATGCTGGTTATGCTGTTACTACCAGCCAGGAATCAATAGAATGAGGGCATTTGCCCATGAATACCCCTGCGCAAAAGGCAGAAATAATTGCCCTGACCTGTGCTTTAGAGTTGGCCCAAGGCAAGGCTGTGAATATCTATACAGACTCAAAATACGCCTTTGGAGTTGTACACGCACATGGAATAATTTGGAAAGAGAGAAGATTATTAAATTCACAGTGTAAAAACATCAGACATGCAGAGGAAATTCTAAGACTGTTGGAAGCAGTCCAGTTTCCTACAAAAAGTGACAATCATGCACATCAAGGTACACCACAAGGTGAACTTGGATTTGGAGAAAGGAAACGAGGTGCCGGACAGAGAGGCAAAACAAGCAGCCAAAGGAGAGGTAAAAGTAGAAGGAGTTTTAATCCCTGATGGGCAAATTTCCCTAGAGGGTAAGCCTAATTATACTAAAGAAGATCAAAAACTTATCACAGATCTGGAAGGATCACATAATGAAGAAGGTTGGGCCCTAACCCCACAAGGGAATACAGTCATTCCCTCTTATTTAATATGGTCCCTGGTAAGGGAGGAACACCAGAAAGGACATTGGGGAGCAGAGGCCCTATATAAACACTTAACTAGAGATATTAAAGCTAGAAATTTATATACTACAGTAAGACAAGTAACTCAGCAGTGTGATCTTTGCCTCCAGACTAATCCCCAAAATACCCCCAGACTGGGAATGGGCCAAACTGGGAAAAGCAATGGGCCTGGGCAACAATGGCAGATTGATTTTTAAGATCTTCCAAGAAAAGGGGGGTATTGATTCCTATTGGTACTAACAGATACCTTTTCAGGCTGGCCAGAAGCATTTCCTACCAGAACAGCCAAAGCTCATGAGGTAAACAGAATTAATACAAGAAATAATACCACACTTTGGGGTTCCAGCAACAATATCCTCTGACAGAGAGCCACATTTCATTTTAAAGGTGGTGCAACAAATCAGCCACCATCTGGGTACAGACTGGCAACTTCATACCCCATATCATACCTAGTCAAGTGGCCAAGTAGAAAACATGAATCATTTAATCAAACAGCAGATTTTGAAACTTGGACAGGAAACTAATTTGGCCTGGCCTCAGTCCCTTCTTGTGACCCTTTTGCACATACGAACTAAGCCGAGGGCAAGGGAGGGGTTAAGTCCTTTTGAAATTTTGTACAGACAACCCTATCGCATACAAAAGGGCATATCCACACGAGCAAGGGATGAGACTATAACTTCATATCTGATTGCATTGGGTAAACAGTTCAATAAAATTAGAAAACAGGTATTTGGAACCGGAAACAAAGGATTAGATGGACCTGTGTGTAATATACAGCCTGGAGAGTATGTATATATCAAGTCTCTTGCAGAAAAGACTCTGGAACTGCAATAGAAGGACCATTCCAAGTCTCACCTTCTTTACGTCAATTAAGATCAAGGAGCAGAGCGCCTGGATCCATCATACTAGAGTGAAGAAGGCCCATAGATCTCCATGGAAGGTTACACAAATTCAGACAGGAAAATTATATTTTTTATGGTAATTTTGGTCAACGTCTATCCTGCTGTAGTAACATGGAATCAGAATTTTTTTTATAAGCCTTCTTCACACAATGGCTCAGAAAAAAAAAATTGTCAGATTGCTGGGAATGCACAAAATTACCAAAATCGGGTCAATTTCCTTTTCTAGGCATTCCCAAATTTAACATCCCACAGTTTACAAATACAACAGGTTGGGTAGGGGGACCCACCCCTCATGATCTGACAGGAGTATGAAGACCACCAGATGGCAATTATGAAGTTAACCAAAATAATGCCTTATATAATGAATCCAAAGCCCTCGAGCAGAAATGGCTATTCTGACAGCCGATAAAGATGCAAAACAGAGGAAGTCATTCGGTCCAGTTCCTAAGCACAAAGAAAGGGTCTTATCAAACCTGCAACAATACTTACCCCAGAGGGTCAATAAGAAAAAAACAGTTACACGGGATGGGGAAATTCCCTGATAAGTGCCATGATACCGCTGAGTGGAAGCATGGTCCCAGTGAGAAAAGGTGCTGTTTACCGCCAGGTTGGTGCAAACAGAAAGGCTATGTGCAAACAGAAAGGCTAGGAAATGTTTACCTCAAAATTGGTGGGGAGAATGTACAACAGGTATATTATTGACGATCTCATACCCCACTAAGGATCTGCAAGGTGTTTCACAGACCCTGTGGTATCAGGTTAAAAAAAAAAGAGAGGTTGAGAACCCCTAATTAGAGGAACCAGATTTCATAGTTTTGCCAGATGGCTTATTCCTGTTAGGAGTAAGTAAATTAGAAAAAGCTATAGTAAATATTTCTGCCCCCGTCGAAATTCTAGCTAATGCTACTGCAGATGCCACTGTCAATCTACAGAAAGAGATCAGTTCATTGGCAAAAATAACCATACAAAATCGTATGGCTTTGGATCTATTAATGCCTAAAGAAAGAGGGGTCTGTACAGTAATTAATCAAAGCTGCTGTGCCTTTGTAAACCATGAGGCCCAAATTGAGACAGATGTGCATAGGATTTGGGAAGCTTCAAAACTATTTCATTTAATAGCACAAGATGATACATCCTGGGTTTTCATAAATATTTGGGAAAAAATTGACTTTATGGCTACCTAATTTAGCATGGTTAAAACAGCTTTTTGTTTTGGTAGTAACACTGCTGATTTTAGGAGTATTAACTTGAATTGTAATCAAATGTTTCTTTTAGTGCTGCCAGAACACTGAAGATGCTTATGTCACATGGAAAAAAATCAGTTTAGGCATACGCTGGAATCAAACAAGTACTTTTCTAAAATGTTAGATCAGGAGCCAATTTATTAAAGATAGTAAAAGAATTTAATAACATTTTAGAAAAGGGAGGAATTGAAATGAGGAGCTAGGAAATTAAAACAGGATATAGCAATTAGGCACTCAAGAAATGAAGGTATAACTTAGGTTAGAGATAAAGATGGAAGACTTAGAGATCAGGCTAGGGACTAGAGGCCTATTAGTATAAAAGATAACTAAGATTAAAATAGGATAATAGTTCATAGTTGATGGGCCAGAGAGCAGAACAATATGGAAACCCTGATTGATGGAAGCTGTGAGAGAACGCTTCCTGATGGAATAGGAAGACAGCCCTAAAAACTGGTCAAATCCAACCCCATGGTCCGTCCTGAGTCCAGGAGGCTACAGAGACTGCACAATAAACCGAGGTAAAAAGTTCAACAGAGAGGAAGAGGAGCTACTTCATCTCTGCGATCCCAGCCCACGACCACCGGGACACACTGCGCAGACGCATCTAGGAGGAGACTGGGGCGGAACATATGAAGATGACTTTCAGGCTCATTATAATACGAAGCGAGGATAGGTCATGCATATGTATAGGCATATTATGAATATGTAATGCTTTGTAGCACAAAGCTAAGGCAAGGTGCCATGAGAGGTGTGCACGTTTGCGGTGGAATGATCCCCCGTGTGCCTCAGCGCTGAATAAACATACCTACTTCACAACCTCAGAGGCTGTGGAGTCGTGTTTCGGCAAGTCAGTTTCTTCTAGTAGCCTTTTCAGAGCCAAAGAGAAACCAACCCCGACTGCCACTGCAATTAGAGTTGGCTACCCAGGTATGGGGTAAAGACCCCACTGCAATTGCATGTCAAAAATGTAACTTCTGTAACTGGTGCTTATAGTCCTCAAGAAAGGGCTACTTCAGTACACAGAAATAAATTAGTCCTTTTTACTCATGACCTTCATGGCATGTTTCCAGGGCCATCTGTTTCAAGTTTAATCAATCAAGTTCTATTCCTGACCAAATCCTGCTTCACTGAAGAAGCATCAGTAATTCACACACCAAGACAAGATTACCTTAAATTACCTTTTCTCATAATTTCCTCCCACTCTCTGTACTCCAGGAAGAGTCAGCTAGCATGCACCCACCCTATTCAGCAAGCCTGTCCTATCCTAGTGAGCCTTCTCATGTCACAGACAGCAACGCCTTTTGTGGTTCTTTGACTCAGAACACCCAAAAGCAAACAGCTAAACACATTTGATCTTCCCCTTATTCTCCTCATTATTGTCAGTACAAGTCTGACAATAGGATTTCTTTGAAAATTCACAGCTGATGGATCTCAAAGACCCTTGGACTACAATATTCTATTCAAAGTTACTCTGAAGTGATTCACAATTTATCCTCATCTTTAACACACACCTTCAAAGTAAAAAGCAACAAAGTTCTTTAAGAAAATCAAAAGGAACTATGAACCAAATCTCAGCAGTATAAATACTCTTTAATGGGCTCCAAACCACTCCCAGCATCACCTCTCAAATTCTGCCCATCTCAGAGACACAGTGATTTGGAGTCTCCTGCAGGACCTCTGCCGGTTTGTCCCTGAAATCACTCCATTTCCCATATATCAGAAACATTCAACAAATGTGAAGGAAAGCAGCGCAAAACTTGATGAGGTGAGCTAATATTAGTTGGAGATAGCAGAAAGGTGGAAAACCCTTTAAAAATTACAAAGAAAAAGAAATTACCCAAACCAAACCTGGCTAATTTTTTTTGACTCCTCTGAGAAGTCTTTGTTTCCTTTGATTTCTGGTACATCACTTCCCTTTTTTGTAAGCTCATCTATCCTTTCTTCACATTGTTCTTTTAACTCTTTCATCTGGCTGATGCACTGTGACCTGGAGAAAACATAAACAAGTGAGCAGTTGTTAATTTTAATCCACACTCTTCTAAAATATTCTTTTGTAAATTCATTTATTCCTTTTATTTCCCCATTACTTGATTAGCTCTATTATCTGTGCTTACATTTGAGAAGTCAGTAGGAAAAAATGGGATGTTAACGTTTGTCCTAAATTCATGGTGCAGGCAGTCCAAGTTCTTCTGGAATAAATTAATTTAAACTGCTTTTGTTAGACCAGCTCAACAAACTATGATACATGAATTTTCAGTGCAGTGCTGCAAGCCAGAATAAAATATGTACTACAGAAACAGAGTTCACCAGTAGCTACTTTAAGTTCCAGAAGGTGTACTTCCTAAAGATGCAAGTGTTATACATCGTTTATATACTTTTAATAGTTACACAGTGCCAATGGTACCTTAACCTTCGTGACACCAGTGGTCTTCTGTAGCCTGCCTTTCCCTCACAGCTCTGTAACATCTAGGTAAGCCCTAGGTTGTGTACGGCAGTGTTTTTCCTGAAGCTGCCAGAGCAGTGTTTTTCCCCTTCTGTAGCTGTGCTGAAGACCCTGTGCAAACTCTCAGGGCAAGTGACTGCCATCACGGCAAGATCACCCTTTCTCTCCCACTCTCTTAATAACCTGTTTTATAACTTCCAGTTTATATTAGAGGAAGAACAAGACCTAGTGAATAACAAAGCAGATAAGCATTACCCCATAATGCACATGTAGAAAGCTTAGAAACCAGTTATCATATGACCCCAAGTATGCTTTGATCCCACTGGGAACAAGAAAAAGCAATAGTGGGCTTGAGTAGATCTTGATGAGAAGTGCATCATGTTAGGGGAAAATGTGATGAAAAAATCTCATCATCAGCACTGGACAGCGTGCCCAAGAAGAGGCTTGACTGGCGACCACACTGTTTCTCTTCCCAGCTGGCACCATCAGCATAGCGGTTTGTTGAGGTTTTTTAACCCTTTTTTTCTTTCACTCTCTCCCTTTTTTTTCCACTCTAAGGTAATTTTGAGTTCAATGTATACCACCAGCTACAGACCCTGCACATTTTTCTGCATGCAAAACCTCTCAGCATCTTTCGTACAACAACATGGTCAACATACTGCAAGTTTTACCTCCTGCTCACTAAGACACAAAGGGGACGAATTTCTTCTGAGCCTGGCTCTGGCAGACTGTTAATACCCATGGTGTAACGCAGCTGGTTCAGGCATGTTCCAGTTTCTCAGGCTGCAAATGAGCTACTACCTAATCCATGGGGATTCTCAGGGCACATGCCCTCTACTACAGCAAGTCACTTGTTTTTACTGCATTTTCATCCTTCTCCAACCCCACTTTTTAAAAGCAAAAAATCTGTTCTGTAGTTCATAACCAGAAAGGAAGAAGAGTGTCAGACAGATATACTATGCACTGGCAAATAAATTACCTTTAGGAACTGACAATTTAATCACCTTTATTACCATTTATTCTTGACTAGACATTAGTGTGATTTGGCTAATGGTAATACATGCAAGAGTCATCAAAATAAGCAGTGTTTCCTGAGCTGGTGAACATCAGATACAATAAAACAACATAGGCTTGAGTTATGCATACACTCACTAATTTCGAGGAAATGAAAGGACATCAGAATTGTCTGCACCTCAGTTTGCAAGCTTGAGAAAGATGCAATACACAGACAACATGAAGTTGGATATAGAGCAACCTTTTGCAAATGCTCTTTCATACCACACTGCACATGAAAATACAGTTCATTTAACATATGTGACAAATCCTCAAAATTTTTAATTTATCATCCGTGAAGGAATTCCCTTCTTGTAAAAGGGATTTCTGGAAATCTGAACACTCTACTCGTGAATACAACTTCTGAAGCACAAGAACACCATCAGTTTCCCCACCTCATCCTGTTGACATGATGTACTTCAAATGTGCAAAACCAGTGCTCTTCAATTCAGTCTTTGTGGCATGTTTTCTCTTTCACAAGATTAAAGTTAGTTTCTGTGATAAAGAGCTCACCTGCACACCCATAAAGGAGAGCAAGTAATACCGTCCCCAGCTGCTCCCAAGCCCATCACAGGAGCCATCAGCCCATCCAAGGCCCACCTCCATAAGCCCAAAGGACCACAGAGGCACAAGGGCAGCTGGGAACCTAAATTACAGACTCAGAAGAGACACCCTGTCCCAACCACCCCACAGCCCCAGGGCTGTCTCAAGTCAGCCTCAGCTCTTGTGTCCAGGCATGAAACCCATGAAGATGAGTCCACAGGACCAAGGTGTTTCCTGCCCAGGGTGGGGGACACATTATAGGATGCGGGGGCAGAACATGTCGGGATTGCACAAGACTTATTATGGGACCAAAGGCATGGAAAGGGATGGATCTCTGACAGGAACAAGCATGAGAAAAGGGATAAACAGCGTCGGTCACATGTAAACACACTGCTGGTCAGTGGGCTTGTCTGGCCTTGCCCTGCACCTGCTCAGCAGTCTGTCCCATTTCTTATTAAATGTCTTTTTAACTCTTCCCTGATTGAGGGACTCTGTTCAGTGTGTGCATGTGTGTGTATGGCGGTGTGAGTGCAGCAACTTGAGTCAGACTGGGGTGGGAGAGCTGCACATGGGTGGTACAGGGACTGGTGCCAGCCACTACGCATGTACTTCAGCATATTTTGCACTAGCAGATCCCCACCCTCACCTTCAGGGAAGGATGAAGCAACTGGTGCTGTTTGTGCTTGTGTGAGTACTTCGTGTGTCTGTGTCATGTGTTCATGTCCATGTTAACCTGTGTACCAGGCCGTGTACTGGCATGCTCTGCACGCATGGGAGCATATGTGCAGCCTCTCCCCTTGTGGGCTACTGGATTTACTGCCCCCACCCTCGCTCTGAGAAACAGCACCTTTGTCCTGCAAGAGCATTAATACTATCAGCTCCTTTCATCCCTTCCAAATAAGATTATTCGTGCAGTCATGCTCTTATACCTGTCAGGGCTGCAAATACCAAACTAATTATCAGAGTCCTTACATGTAGCAAAATTTCCAAAGTGGCTATGTAGCAAACAAAGCTCCTTGGAATCAAAATGCATCTGAATATTGAGATATCTTCAGATCAGTCCAGAGGCTTGTTTTTCTCTGGTTTCTGAAGGAGAGAAGGGTCAGTGCTATCAGTCTTTGCTAAACAAGTTCTACAGCAAGCAGACAGCACTGGGCAGAGTGTGCAATTGGTAAATCAATTGCTGAGGAATGTGCGCTCCTTTTGCACACAATACCAGTAAGCTCAGATAACTCCTGCTAACTTATGCATGGAAAACACTAAGCTTGCTTAAAAAAAAAAAAAAAAATAAAAAAAAAAATGTAAGAAACTTCAAGGCTTGAGCATGAGAAAAAATAACAATTTTTGCTCTTATCTATTTTACATGCACAACTGACTTTATCACTGTCTTCTACAGTAAAATATTCAATTGTTTTAAAAGAGTGATTTACAATGTGTGCAGTTAAAAAAAGACATTTGACTTTTTATAACATTTTCAATTATACAATAATACTCTCTCTTCATTTTTCCACTGGGCAAAGTGTACTTGATACATAAGGTGTGAAACCTTCATCCATAGAACTCCAAGTCAAAGGAAGAAATGCTGGTGGCATAGCACAAAAGCAGGTCTAATGCCACCTCCTGCCAAGATGAACAGGGAGGCAACATGTTGATTTACTTCTAAGATTAAGGGGAGTAAGGAAGACAGATTAAAGTAACATTTAGAGTATTTCTAATGATATTTGTTTTTCTAGGCCCATAATCACGTTGGGAGAAGGTAGGTTGTAAGCATTTAAAATTACAGTATTAGGTAATCATTTAGTAACAGCAAAAAGGACTGTATGCAACCAAGTACAATGAGATGTCTCTTTCTATAACTACCAGAACACAATGCAAAGTCAGTAATGTAACTTATCACAACAGTGAAATTTTAATGTTCCAACATCCCTCCCCCAAAGGTACACAACAAGCAATATTTAAAAAAATACACTTACATATATTCCTCCTAGAACTGTGTGAAAAACTACAGGGTTCCCAAGCTATAAATCACTCTATGAAAATCTGAGTGCAAAGTTTGTTTTCCTCACTTCCATAGCTACAAAAAAAATCCAGAAATAGAAAACAAACACTTGTTATTCAGCAAAGCCAGTGAAGAAAGCACAGCTCCTTGACTGAGATAACTGCTTTTATGTGCTCCCATCAAAATGGCACATCTGTCTCAGGACCAACTGGAGTCAGTTACCCAAGTCCCTGTTCAGATAGTGCATGGCTGAATTACCATGCCCGTCTCTACATCTACCCTGACACAAGCAAAACCACCTTCAGCACTGTAACTTGTTTAGCTTTTCACCTTGAGCCAGCCTTGACCCTGGAGCTGTAAACTCTGAATACAATCTTCTTCTGTTAAATAAAGAGGGATTCTTTACAGTACACTCCCACAAGCAGGGATGCTCTGTCGGTGATTTCCTCAACAGACTTGTACTTGAAAACATTTCACCAGACACAGGCAATAAACCTGACTTTTCTGAAACCAGATTCACTACATTTGCCTTACATGTTGTATCAATCCAGTGCTTCAAGACATACCTCTCATGTAGACCATGATGTACATCATATACACACACCTACAGATCCATTTATTCTTGCTGATCTCAGCCTTACAAGGGAGATGCTAACAAACTGATACTCTAACTAGCAAAGAACTATAAAAAGGGGTTCAGGAGTCCCAGCTCTGTCATTAACTAAACTACACTGATGTTTAACAACCATGGTACACAACAAACTTAGAGGGAAAAAGTACCTTAACAGACATGAAAGTGCAACATGGCTTAATAAAAAGTTCATACAAACTTAAGTCTCCAACTTCCTTCTACTTTTCTGTTAGAATTCCTAAATTATTAGAACTCTAGTAATACAATCTATCTGGGTCATCATTATTAAATGAGTAATAATGCCCTAAAAAAAGAGTACACAACCAACTGGTAATCAGTAAGTATTCCAAAAGCACTAATACTAATCCTTAATTCTTAAACAGGGAAAAAAAAAAGAAAAAAGGTATTTTAAATTTGGCCTGAAGAATTCAAGTTATTTGATTACCATGTTGAACTTTTAGTCATAATTTCTAAAAAATCTGGCCAAATGGTGGCTGCTGTAAAAATATCTATCACTAAGGCAATTATATTACTGATAGAAAATCATTATGAGAACATGCAAACAGCAAAATTCTGTTGGTTTTCTATATTTATGCACTAGAGTGAAGATACAATAGGATGTGAGGACAGACAGAAGGAACAAGAACATTACTGAACAGAAAGAACTCAGTAGAAATTCCTAAAAATACCAGAAATGTGTATTCAGTGTGAGGATATTGATAAGCACTTATGTTCAGTTATCCATGTCTTATAATTCAGCAGAAAATCTCAACAAAAGAAATTATTAGGTATGAACTGTAATGCAGAACACATGGCTCTGACCGTAACTATATCAGAAATTTTTTGAGACCTCTGCCAGCACAATAAGGTACAGCTTCTCATCAGCTACTCCCATATCTTAGTTCTTAAAGTTCTTCAAAGTTTAGCCTCTTTGTGTTTCAATTTTGCCCCCAAATCTTAAATCATAATATTGCTACCTTTCTCCTCCTGCAATGCAAGGAACATCAAGTGTGGGAGAAGTCTGCAGATACTGAAATGCCAAGAATTGCAAAGTCTGTGCTCTTCTCCAAGATCAACTGTGAGCTATTTTAGATGTGTCAGGTGTTACTTTCTCCTTTAAAAATGTATTTACTAACAGTGCTATAGCTATCACAAGAATACTCTGGGTTATAACCAAGTTACCTACAACTCCAGAAGCCATCTTTTAGAAAGAACATACTTACAGGTCATATGAAAACTTCCTCTGAAGGTTAGTCTGGTTCTTTTGAAACCAGTAAATATCCAGCTGTAGCCTTCCATATTCCGACTGTAACTCTTTCAAGTGTTCTGACCAAAACCAGGATTAAAATATATATTAAAATATACATACACATATATAGCTAGATATATTGCAACAGAAGTATCAGACAACAGATCAACAGTAAGCACGCTAACTCCATCCATCATGTTCACCACATTTTGTATACAAACACATAGAAAATTGTTGAATTTGTTCATCAAGGATGCACAGGGTTGGGTAAGAATAGCTTTTCAGCCTAACATATTAACAAAAATGGTGGAACACATTTTATTACTTCCTCTTCTTCATAAATAACTTGTTTGCAAACCCTTGAGCTGCTAGGTTTCAGCCCAGGAAATCTTTTAAGTATATGAAATACTAATCAGAACATAGTACGAACTGGCATTCATGTTTACTAGCCATCTAAAGACACGCTTACAATGTTTCCCTGAATAATATGCAATTTACAGTTATCTTCCTCAAAAACAGAGGCATCTATGATTTAAGTTTTTTCCTGATAGAAAGCTCTGTGTGAGGGCACCAGAAGAAGGCATCATAACCTATTTACCTGCTTATAGAATTTAGGATCTGTTCCCCAGTCTTCCTGAGGAATAAATTGCTAACACCAATTTTGAAGAACCAACATGAATGGAAATGAAATAGACAAATTTAATACAAGAGTTTGTGAATTTCCCCAGTGCTAAAATGCATGACCTGAACACCTCAAGGAGGAATGCAGCAATACGCTACAAAAGGTAGAATGAAGAATAAATATATTAACAATACACACAGAAGCTAGTTTTATATTATTTTATATCATTAGGGTCAGGAGCCCTGCATCAAGCACTACATGGACAAATCCTTCCACCGTTGAGATAGAACTGGAACTACACAGATTCAGAATCTAAGCCACAACAGCTCCTGCACCATCCCCATGACTTGAAGAAAAGAAGCATTCTCAAAAGACACTAGAAAAATGTAAGGCTTAAAAACAGGTGACTTAACAGTATGAGAGAGATGAAGAGGGGTATTATGACATACCTCGTAGACTCTGGACCAATCGTTCATTTACTGTGATGTTACTCAACAACATCGCCTGGAGTGAGCAAAACAGAAAACAATGTTTTAATTGCAAAGGACCCACATTACCATTAATACTATACACAATACCAACCAAAGCACTTGTAACAAGACCTTTTCTTTGCGAAGTGCTGGGTTATAGCCAAAACCAAAAATTTTTAGCTGCCCTAGAGATTAACTATTACAGACAACACACAGTTGTTTTAACCCAGATTTCCCAGTAAACGCAGGGGGGCAGGGGGAAGGTACCACTGCACTTAAATAAAAAACACAGGAATTTAATGAGTCTGCTACTAAAATTGCTTGCTGCTTTATTCTGGTTTAATCTCATGATTGCAGTCACTACCATATTTACAGTATTTATCCTTTGAAGGAAGAATACAGCATAGCACTGCTTGCTATCAATTTACCCTCTCACCATGGAATCAATACATATGCATTCACGCACAGAAGGATGAACAGCATTAGTCACAGAGTATAAAGGAACTCTACAAAAGCAACACAAAGCCCTTGCACTGTTATCACTTTTCTAACTATCCTCTCCTTCAGTCTGATAAGAAAGTGTTGGAGTGACCGTCTTCCACTTCCTCACTTTGCTCTTTCTTGTTCTGAAGAGGCAGTCAACATAGGAACATGTTTGTCCATTCTTCCATCAATCCCCTTCTACCAACCCATATATACACATGCCCCGAAACACATGTCTATTGACAGAACTAAAGCAAGTCTAAATTAAATTAATTCCTGCAAGCAAGATGTTAGGATAACTCAGATTTATATTTAACATTTAGGAAGTCTGGTACAGAAGCATCTTCTCAAGACTATGTGTTGAGTTTGTGTGGTAGGGTTTTTGGTAGCAGGGGAGGGGACTACGGTGGTGACCCCTGTGAGAAGCTTCTCAAAGCTCACCCCTCCAAGGCAGATCCACCTCTGGACAAGGCCGAGCCAATTAGTGATGATGGCTGTGCATTTTCAGTAACATATTTAAGAAGGGGAACCTGAGAGGGGGGTGGGACTTGTGAGGGAAACACTTCTGCAAACACTGAGGTCAGTAGCTGGAAGGAGGAGAAGTGGGGGAGGTGTGCTAGAGCAGAGAACCCCTGTATCCTGTGGTGAGAAGGCAGGGCTGCCTCCTCACCACCACCCATGGAGGTCACCAGTGGAGCAGATGTCCACTACAGCCCATGGAGGACCCAACACCAGAGCAGGTGTCTGTGCCCAGAGAAGGCCAGGACTCTGTAGGAAGCCCCCTGTCACAAACTGTTCATAAAAAGAAACTGTTCATAAAGAGGATGTCTCAAACATCTCAAGTGGGATGCCCTGTGGGGAAGAATCAGAGCAAGCTCTGTGGAGGTGGGGTAGTAGGCTGTTTCTCTCCTGATCCCTCCTGTGGTTGCCCAGAGACAGAACTTGCCTAACTCTGCAGGTACAAGACAGAAAAAATGAGAACCTTCTAGAATAATCTACCGTGCATGCATAAAAAAAGACTATATAAAGGCAATACCTCATGTGTGTCTTTGCTAACCCATCATCTATGGAAAAGCTGGCTGCTCTGCAACAATGTGGGATCCAAGGTTGGTAATTTCCCCTTTTCCTATTCACTCCTCCTCTCTCTTTCCCTTTTTTGCTCTTTCTTTTTTATATATATTCATAAGTTTTGTAGAATTGCGATGATTGATGAGTTATTAGGAAAATAGTCTCATCATCAAAGTGTCTTTTATTTGTTCCCAAGACAGTTATCAGTTAATAGCTGCCAAATTGTCTCCGTTCACTTACTAAAGTGGTCAGTTAATAAAGTCACCAGCACAACTGTTCCCTTGGAGTCATCGTGGTAACTCATTCTGCCCTGAGTCAGGGTCTCTTTGAGTCAGTGCCAAGCAGAGGCTGGCTCTTCCACCAGCATGCAGGCTCTCAGGGAATTCAAGATTAACCCTGCCTCGTAACCCACCATAACCCACTGTGTGGGACGAGACACCCCTGCTGTTGTAGTATGACGCTGGGAGGACTGCAACACGTGGGAGGGACCCATGATGGAGCAGTTTAGGAAGAGCTGCAGCCCTTGGGAAGGACTCGCATCAGAGAAAGTTCATGGAGTTACATGAGACTGTCTCCTGTGAGAGGGAACACATGCTGGAGCAGGAGCAGGAGTCCTCACCCTCAGGAGGAAGGAGCAGCAGGACTGACCGCAACCCCTGTTCCCTGCCCTGCTGCAGGAGGAGGAGGTGATAGAGAAAGCAGGGAGAAAGGGAGGAGTAAGATGGGGTTATACTTCTCACTATCCTACTCCACTTGTTAAGTGATGCTGTTGTTAGTGTTTGAATTAACTGATGTTCTATTTTTCCTCCCCCTAATGACTCTGTCTTATGCCCATGATCATTCCATTCCTGAGGGGAAAAGAGTGAGTGAGCGGCTGTGCCGTGCTCAGTTGCCCTTTAGGCTTGAACCACGACAACACAAAAAGGTAAGTTATCCACTGACCCTTCAGAACCAATCCAGTCCAGTCTTAGGAGCATATTCCTCATCCCTCACTGCCATTTTTCTCATTACCCTTCTCCCTGGAAGCCCCAGTGTTCTGCAGGGGCCTAGATCAGGATACATCAGGTCCACAGTTTCCTGAAGTTTCTGCTCAAGTATTTGTGTATATATGTCCACATCACTTTAATGCAAAGAAATAACTGCCTTTTTTTCATAAAGACTATGATAAAAAGTGCTGGTGGATTAGGAAAAGTGAAGCATTCAATCCATCTAAGCAGGATAGCATATAGCAGAGAATAAGATTTGTGTTCTGTTGACCCTTTAAAGGGTCCCAGTTCTAAGAGGTGGTCATTTATGTGTTGAAGAAGAGGCATTTTCAACCCAATAACAGAAATATTCCCACACCATTCTATACATACAGCTGGTCCATCAACACCACTGTGAAACCTCGAGAGCAAAGGCCTTGCTCCATTGTTAAAAAGGAAAAAATAAGAACAAACCATGAATAACATAGAATTATTTAATACCTCTCCCTCTCCTTTGTCATAGTACAGGTTAAAAAGAAGGCTCCAGATTTGTCTTTCACTGGTTTATTGGGAAAGGAAGTTAATGTTTCAATGGAAATGACAAGTTTTGCTAATACATGAGCAATGTAATCAAGTTGTTCCATGATTACTACCTTCAGGGTTTCCAGCATTGGCCATTACCAGAAACTGTCAGTGGACTAGAAAAATCTGTATGACATAGCAATTTTATGTTCCTACAGTTTGTTGTGTGGTAGTTTAGGGTTTTTTTACTTATAATGAAACTCCCAAATACCAGGACCACTTACATATTTGACGGTAAAACAAACAAGTGTTGAATGTTAGGACAATAATCACTGTGATTAGCTGCAATGAATAAAAATAATTTACCATGTGAAAACAGCTCCTTAAAACACAACAGGGGAAAAAAAAAAGCGTGCCTTGCTTTTTTTCAATTGCATATAAAACTTCCTTTCAGCACCATCACACCTGCCTCCCTGAATCTGTGCATAGTAATCCAGGAAAAGAAATCACAAGAACCTGGTTAACTTTTTAACTTGAGCTTGAAATACATTTAATAATTCACAGGGCAATGCTCCAACTGCCAGCTTCCAATCTGACTATCGATAACGTCAGGCTTTCCATTCCTCCTCCTGTCATCCAAGTGTAAGCTAATCTTCAACTCATGGTTATGAATTAGACAGACATTTTCTGTTGAGGTTTTATGCAGGTCAAGAAAGCAAACTTTGGGAAGCACTCAGCAAACACAGGCCAAAATTCAGCTGTAGGAAGAAACATTTTAAATCTCATTTAGCCCACAAAATAATACCTATGATCCCTAGGAGTGAGAATCCAGTTTTTGGAAACTCATTATATCACCATATCAAAATCTGATCTTCTGTGACAGAGCAGCTCCATAACACAGAACCAGCTCATTATAACTGCAAACATGTCTTGCAAAGAAGTCCTTGTGACTATCACAGAGGTAAAATCTGTCTCCTGATTGGAGTCAATACTGTGGAGAGCTGGTCTTCAGAAACCAAAAATCAAAAGCCACACTGCCACCAGTAGTGAAGAAATTGCTCCAATTGGTCAGCAAACTTTTTAATTACAATTGCCAGAGATATATATTTTTTATTCACCACGGAACATGTCTACATAAGTCATACTCCACTTAAACATAGATGTTAAAGTTACTCTTTAAAAAATCCAAAACGTAACACAGAAATACCTGCGAAGAAGCTTTGAGATAAATTATTTCAAAGCATACATTCTGAGCACATACTCTGAACTATGTACATGCATTTGATCCAATTAATGCCTTATGCAGCAGTCTCCAAAAACATATTCCTTGGAAGCATTACTACAATAACTCCTTCAGCATTTGCTACCATTATAAGCCAAGCTAACCCAAGCACACTGAACTGACATCTGTGCTTTCTAACACTGACAATACATGAGGTATATAGAAGCACAGGAAAAAGGAAAGCTGCCAATCAGAGAGGGACCTGAGGGTATTGACTGACAGCCGGCTGAACAGGAGCCAGCAGTGTGCCCAGGTGGCCAAGAAGGCCAATGGCATCCTGGCTTGTGTCAGCAATAGCGTGGCCAGCAGGGACAGGGAAGGGAGCACTGGGGAGGCCGCCCCTCGATTCCTGTGTTCAGTTTTGGGCCCCTCACTACAAAAAGGACATTGAATGACTCGAGCGTGTCCAGAGAAGGGCAACGAAGCTGGTGCAGGGTCTGGAGCACAGGTCGTAAGGGGAGCAGCTGAGGGAACTGGGGGTGTTTAGTCTGGAGAAGAGGAGGCTGAGGGGAAACCTCATCGCCCTCTACAGCTACCTGAAAGGAGGTTGCAGAGAGCTGGGGATGAGTCTCTTTAAGGAAGTAATAAGGAAGAGTACAAGAGGGAATGGCCTCAAGTTGCACCAGGGAAATTTTAGACTGGATATTAGGAAGCATTTCTTTCCAGAAGGGGTTGTTAGGTGTTGGAATGGGCTGCCCAGGGAGGTGGTGGAGT